TATATATATATATATATATATATATATATATATATATATATATATATATATATATATATATATATTTCTTTCTTTCCAGAAAATCGTAATCCTAATTGTGACGACCTTTCTCATCCTCACAACATCTAGTTCAAACACCTATCATCACAGCAATTCTCACTAATACAGCTGTGATTCATTTTGATGCTCTGGTCATCCAGTTATACCATGACCACCATCATGCACCCTCATTTCATTTGCTTAAGCTGGCCATAGACAAGCAGGTTTTCTACATGACAAGTCCAGTGGCAAGTTTTATTTGGCAATTGCACGTGTGTATGACATTCAGCTTTGTCGAAGGAAACGCTACCGGGAGATGCATGTATGGGTGCGAGGCAAATAGTAAATTTTCTAGGTAAAGTAGATTCTACAGTAATATAGATAATTGCAGATTATTTGCACAATTACTGGACCGCACCATTATACAGGCTAAGGCCTGTTTCAAACTTGTCGACATAGAAAACTCGCTCATCTGCAAACGACGCTACCATTATCACACAATGAACTCTCACCTTTATACTCAACTGGCTTATCACAAACATTACCACGGTCACTTCCTTGTGTAGGATCATAACTCTTCCATTCTTGTAAACCAGTGGTGCTCAGGCGAAAGCCACTTTTAACATACTTCGGTGAACCACCACCTTCTTGGGAATATAATGTCCCGTTGGCATCGCAGTACCATTGCTGGTTCTTTGAGCTTGCTTTACAAGGAGAGACGGTCACTTTGTTGTCAGATCCAAGGGTGAGACAGTCGAATCTGTTCAGCGTTATTAACTGTTTGTCCTTCGTGTAAATCCAGTAGTATTCTTTGTTGTCGTTGAAACATCCATCATGTATGTCAAGTGGGTCGTCATTCCAATACGTGACATACAGACACTGGTTTAAAGAGGTACCATCGTGCATACTCACACGTATGTTCATTCTTTCTTTTGGACCTAAAAGTAATTTTTCAATCATTCTTTATTGGCGTGTTTTCTTATTGCATTTCGAAGAATATTCCGGAAAATGATTTCTTAACATCTTTAATTTTAATAAAATATTGTAGGCTTGCCATTTAAAAAAAATGTTTCATAATTGAAAAAGGTAGTTTTTCAAAAGCACTACAGTTTTTCGCTCACTCCAAGCAGTCTGAATGAACTGCTATATCCCGTGTTGGTAGAAAAACAATTCTCTATAAACTTTGAGCTGGTTCAAATTTCTGGTTCTGAGTTCGCTGTGCGCGCGGTAATATCCAGTCAACTCTCATTAACTCTAATGCAAAGGCTTAATCTCGTTTGACTGCAGGGGCTTAATTTTGCTCTAATAGTTCGAGGCGCTTAAATGAGTAAATATGATAAGTATAGGTTAAACACTGTGAACGGAGGCTTTAAGCCATTAGATAAACCCGCCTCGGGCGTTCGAGTCACCCGACAATGTTTTGTCTATTTCGTTCACCTTAGACAAAGTTTTGCTAGAATAAGGCTGTATGCTATGTACAGCCCGCGATACATCAAAGAAAACAGACTCCAGTTTTCCACTTTTGCCGGGATGGGATGGAAGGCGGGATGATTTCATGTAGGATGGGTAAAGGTTTCAAGATTAGGATGGCAATTGGGACACCAGTCCTGTATCTAACTTCTGCCAGTTAGAGTCTTTTGTGATTTGCCATATTTGTGTGTATGTATGGCATGTGAGTTATTGGCAAATTTAATAAATTCAAATGTATTGAAAGAAATCATCAGGCTTAAACGAAAGTGCAAACGCCGCTTAAAGTGTGACATGAAATTTCTTAATTTCTTAAATGAAAGAACTATTTAACTTGTAGTGTAATTTATGGTTTGTTCCCGAGATATTTCAATTTGTTTGATATGTAAATGAGTGTGAATATGTCCGCTAATTTATGACGTCATGTTGGTTGCAAGCTCAACTTACACTGGTTATAAATATATATTATTAACTCTAAAAACTGTTGATATCAGTTCACGTTTTTCTCCAGTGTTTCATCACATTTACCAATGAGTGAAGTTTGAAATTATCATCTTGGATGATAGCAGTGCATGATATTCAACCATTTTGAAGAGCTTACAACCAACATGACGTCATAAATAAATTAGCGGACATATTCACACTCATTTACATATCAAACAAATTGAAATATCTCAGGAACAAACCGTGAAAAACAAGAAACTGAAAAGTAAGTTACACTACAGCTTAAGGAGTTCTTTCATTTAAAAAATAAGAAATTTCATTTCATATACTCTTTAAAAGAACTCAAATGTTATCGAGAAGTTCTCGTAGTTCAAGAAGAATATTATTGCTGTTTGAACAACCTTTCGTCTAAAATTATACTTTATATCTATCACTAGGAAAATAATGTAGTTTTGCTGAATCGTGCGACTAATTTCAATACATTAAAATCATCCCGCCTCACATCTCCCGGCAAAGCAGGACCATATATAAACTTCCCCTAAGCCTAAGGCCTGTTTCAAACGTCGTCTTTCTCATGTGCCGCGCAAATGCATTAGAAACAATAGGTAATGAGGGATTTCAGCTGATTATATATTGTTTTTAATGCGTTCGGCACATGAGAAACGCGACGTTTGAATCGGGCCTTAGCCTGTATAATTGTGCGGTCCAGAATTGTGCAAATAATGTACAATTATCTATATGTAATCTATACTTTACCTGGAAAATTTACCATTTGCTTCGTATCCATACATCTCCCGGTAGCATTTCCTTCGATAAAGCTGAATGTCCCGAACATCCCACCACATTGACAGGACTTGCATACACGATATGGACAACCGGCGTTGTAACGCTCACAATGTTTTGCCGAACACTTTGCTTCAGTTGTAAGACAGTCCGGATTTTGAAATGTATCCTGATAATTTCGTTCAACTTTGAAACTGGATGCCAGAATATTCTCGTTGCAAAGCAAATATACCAAGGAAATTTGCAGTAGTAGATTAATTACACCAAAGTTGGCCATCTCGAGGCAAAATAAATTTAAAGGTGGACGATTCGTGACAGGGTTTACATGAGAATGCTTCGGATCACTACGGATGTATATATTGATTTTGAATTAAAATGAGACCAGTGACGTAAATAAGATGAATTGACGTTATGGGGGAATTCACTTGTAACGTCCTTGGCATTTGTGGTTTTGAAAAGTCGATCAGTTATAAAGTTAAAAGTCGATCATTTTGGTAAACGAGCAGCACAGCTGTTTACTTCCAATCTGGACAGATCGACAGAATATCAGGTGCCAACCAAAATTAACACTGAACTTAATATTTTACTACACTGCAAAACATTTTGACTCAAAACCTGAGTAAAATAATGCACCCAACAGCATGATTCAAAATATTGAGTAAAATCACTCAAATTAATGAGCAAATTTATATTGAGTAAAGTAAATCTTTACAAAAAAGTTTTTAGTAAATTTGAAATTTTACTACTGAAAAAATTGAGTCGCTGTGGGTGTATTATTTTACCGGTAGGGATTTTTTTCAGTGTAGTTTTCCCTTTTATGTGAAAGAATGATCATTTAACAAATATAATCAAAGAAAGACTTAGGAACCTATACTGCTGATAAATCTAAGAGCTTATTTATCGATTTGTGAACAAATATAGCTTAATCTTTATATCTGCACCATAATATTAGCAATATTTTCGGATGTTCCGCAATAATTAGCTTTGTATTTATAGTTTGATATACAACATTTTGCTATACCGAAATCTTTCGTCAGGATGAAAGTTCCAATAGCTCGTTCTTTAATATATTGTTGCACTGAAGAAGATCCAAACTAACGGACCAACTGCTGTTTTGAAAAATATACTTTAGATGTAGAAAGCATTACAAATATGATGCTTTCTGGATCTGCATGCAGGCAACTCTTGCTACCTAAAATAGTAAAATGCCGAACTTCATGTTTAATTCGATTTCCTTTAGTAATCCTGCGTTTCAGTAATATACCAACTCACCAACTTCGTGTGATCCTTAATTGTGTTTTACTGAAGGGTTCGACTCGGGTCAGAGAGTGATTTTGGTTGGGGGTTAAGAAATTTATAAAAAATTGCACAAAGTTGGTGAGTTGAGGAGTTGGTATATTACAGACACCGGTTCAAGTCGCCATTGGTGTTATTTGTTTCTGACTGTTGTCTGATATCATTACGCGCACACAAGTCGGTAATAATACGATGTTGAGGAAAGTTTGAAGGCGGAATGTTTGTATAACCAGAAGTTGAAAAGAAAAAGAAATTGTCATAGACTCTTGAGTTATTTCCAAGTGTGTGGTACTTACATTCTTCCGGTACTTTAAACACATGCATGAAGTCTTTTAAATCCGGAGCCAGCTACATACGTCAAGAACACACCCATCATATCACCATATTCATAAATCGTTTATTAATTTATTCCACGCGGGCACGTTACAGGTGTGTATGATTGCTTAACGGTGGGGAGGGGGTAGTAATTTTTTGACATATAAATAGTGGTCGAGTATTGGAAACTTAATAGGCCCCCTTAATAAACTAACTTTAGTCTCTAATTAATCGTTGACAGTTTTTTTGTGAAACTTAGGCTACGTTGACACAATAGCGGATAGCTTTCCGTAGCGGCGCGAAAAACGCCTATCAGATACGAAATGTACGACTTTCAGAAGTTGACCGAAACAACATCAGGAAAATAGCGTTCCTAAAAAGTACGGGTAGGTGTTTTGTCATGTCGCTACGGAAGCTATCGGGTACGAGTCTAATAAAGCCTTAACTAAAGCACTTATTTAGCCCTGTTTACACTACGCTCAATTTTGGTACCGTACCACTATTTTGATTCTTGGACTACCTAAATAGGTAGCCCAAGAACCAAAAAAGTGGTACGGGTACCAATTTTATCCGTGCCGTACCAAAAATTGAGCGTAGTGTAAACGGCGCTTTACAATGTATGTTCTAAAGCTTATTGTGTGAAAGCAGGTTAGTTTAACCCTAGGTTAGCACTAAACTTAACTTCAATGCGAATTTCCTGTCAGCTTGCATGCTTACGGCTTACGGGCAAATATGTTT